CCATGTAGGGTCCTCGAGATTTCTAAGGTTTGACTTGTAAACCGCTTAGAGCGGTGCCTGAGCTCATGAGGCGGCCTATAAATCAAATAAATAAAAACGCCCACGCCGATTGGGTGAGATGCAACCACGTCGCCACCTTTTCCAAGCCACTCGGGGCGGATGCGAAGTCTCACCCAGTTCTAAGCGGACACGGAAGAAGCTGTAGAGCCGCAAACCAGAACGAGTCAAACTGGAAATTCGGGGACATTGAAGGAAAAGAGAAAGGTCTCCCCCAGCGGACGCTTATCCATTCTGGTCATCTGCCCCCTCCCTCTCCAAGACCAGGTTCCTTCTCCAGATGGGGAGGGGGGCGGGCAAAGGGGGGGCTCCACGAGCAAAATTCAAGGAAAGAATTGAGGAGGATTTTTGGGGGAGAAGGCGAGGAGGGAAGGCGGGGGCTTGAGGAGAAAAGCAGCTCTTTAAATGACGTTTCTCTCTCTATCCCCCCCCCCCTTTCTCAAGCTAGAAATTTTTAAAGCTCCCTGCCTCCAGGACATGAGCAGATTCAAACCGGCTCCACCAGTCCAGGGAGCGACCCTTCCGCCTTCAACATTCCCAGAGAGAGGAGGGTTAGCAGAGGGAGAAAAGAACAGGGAAACAGCCCCGATCCTAGCCAAGTTGTAGGGTTAAATTGTTGTTGCTGTTGTTTAAACGGTGTCCCCTGTGATCCTTGACAGGTCTACTCGGGAATCAAGCCCCCAATTGAAGGGACCTTAATTCCGGCACGTTGATGCCTTGAGTTGTGTGGAATGATGATTTTAATCTTCCAGATCCGCTGACGGCCCTTTGAAGCCGTCTCCTCGGAAAGGACCGGACGGTTCCGACCTAGGCGATTCAAACTTTGGCAGGTTTCACTTTCTCCCGGTGTCACCGGCTCGGAAAGAGCAGAAGGGGGGGGGGCTGGATTAAGAAAAACCGCCTTAACCCCGCGCACTCACAAACACCTCCTCACCAGGTCCATAGAAAACACCTTGAGTCAAACGCGCACCTCTCCAGCCGCCTCCGAAGAGTCCTCTGGTTCTTAAGAAATATCCCCCCCCCCACTTCTGGTAACAAATAAGCTTGCTTGTGAGTTTCCACAGCGTAGTGAAAACGCACGCTGTAAGGGATGGTGTCTAGAGTGAGCCCCCTGAAAGGCGCGCTCCCGCCCTCGTGCACGCGCAGATCCTTCCTATTCCTAGGAGTCTGAATGCCAATTTAATAGGAAAGTGGGAAAACCTACAACTCCGTCGCATATTTCTAGGCTTGCCCAGTGAACATCTTAAAAAGACGGTGGATGTCCTCGGAAAGTTATCCTTCCAGAAGAGGGTTTTGCTTTCCCCCCTTAACGCCCCACTGAACACCGGGAAGCTCAACGAGGCACTAAGTCTTGAATGAATGCATCTTTCTCCCGAGTAGAACTGCTTACACTTTCACTGTGTGACTGCCCCTCCTTTCTTTTACCCTCCTGATTTTTCTGTTGCGGGACTACATTAAAGACACATGCTGCGACAGTTCTCTTTACCGGCCTTCCCAAACCTACACCCGAGGAGCATCTATATATAAAGCCACGAGCCATTTTTAAAAGCAAACAAACAACGGTGCAGCTGTGATATTTTGCTTATTTTTTTCCTTTAAAAAAAAACACCCAACGATATATGCAAAGCTTTCGCCTGCCTGGGAATTTATGATTTCTAAATGATATTTTTCTAGATAAAGTTCGTAGAACGACGGTGGCTAGAACGGCAGCTGAATTGTTTGCTAATCTCCAAAACAGATAGATAGATAGATAGATAGATAGATAGATAGATAGATAGATAGATAGATAGATAGATAGATAGATAGATAGATAGATAGATAGATAGATA